CTCCCTCCACCCGCCTCCATCTCTACCTCCATCACTCCCCCGCACGGCACGAGACGAACACCTTCTAGTGGAAGTGGATTTTCCTCATATATCCGCTTCGGAGGTGAGGTTGGGTGTAGCTGGGGGGCACGAGGGAGGGCGGCCGCCCTAGGAGGTGGCCCGGCTACAGCCGCGCTGAGCACGGCCCCCGACCCGCCGCCGCCGCTGGTAAGGTGCCGGGAGGTGCCTGTGCGGTGCCGAGGTGAGATGGGAGGGGGCTCCCGAGGGGGCCCCCGCGGGACGAAGCAGCCCGCCTGAGCAGCCTGAGCGCAGCCGGGCTGGAAAGACAAGCACCTCACCCACACGTACACCAACTCACTCACTCCACTCACTCACGCACACGCGTACGCGTCATCGCACACCCCCTCTGGCCTGTCAGCCCCTCCCGGCTCCAGGCGGCCCCAGGCGCCTCCAGGCTTCTTCCAGGCGCTCCAGCCTTCAGCCCGCCGCTCAACCTTCGTCCACTCCTTTAATACGCTCTCCATTATTGGCCTGAGCAGCGCCCCAGCGCCTCCCGCCCCTCGGAGGAAGAATTTTGCCGGGATAAAGAGAGAGGGGGGAGGGGGAGATGGATGGTTAGCGAGGAGGGCGACGTATCTGACGTCATCGCGTCGTTTTGTTTCCTTGCCTCATCCAGGTGAACCTGACGCTCGACATCCTGGACACGGCGGGCTCGTACGAGTTCCCGGCCATGCGCGCGCTCTGCATGAAGTCGGCCGACGCCATCGTGCTGGTGTACGACGTGACGGACGCCGACACCTTCGAGGAGGTCCGCAGCACCCGGGACCAGGTGCTGGAGGCCAAGGGGGGCGAGTGCCCTATCGTGGTGGTGGGGAACAAGATCGACCTCCTGGAGAACAAGGAGCGGCAGGTGCGTGCACGTCTGTCTGCTGTTAGCAAAAAATAAAAAAAAGCACGTACAAAAATATTTTTTTTAAATGGCTAAAGGAAATATTCTTGTTAGAATAGAGATAACGTAGTTTTTCCCTTCCTTTTCGGCACAGGTTGACCTGCAGACCACAGAGACGGTGGTCACGGTAGACTGGGAGAACGGCTTCGTCGAGGCATCCGCCAAGGACGGCACCAACGTCACGCAGGTGTTCAAGGAGCTGCTGTCGCAGGCCAAAGTCAAGTACAACCTGAGCCCGGCGATGCGCCGGCGGCGCCAGTCGCTGCCGCCTCACCCAGCCCCGGGCATGGCCCCCGCCATCCCCTCGCCCGCCCAGCTGCAACACCTGCAGCAGCTGCAGGAGAGGCACGCCGGTGGCAAGCGGAACAGCTGCGTCATCTCATAAGAAGTGGCCGTAAAAGAAAATCGAAGATTCCTTTCGTTTCTTTTCGGTTGTCCTTATATTTTCTATCTCGTCTTCGTCTGTCCTGTACTTTATTATTTTGTGTTGTTAAGAAGAAGAGGGAAATTGTTTGCTTAGGAATTTAAAGTGGATCTGTGGTAAAATGTTTGAAATGTTTTTAAACTGCTGTTAATTTTTTTTCCCATTGTTTTTGAAAACCTTAATTTTCTGAACGAAATTAGCATGTTTGTATTTCATGTTTGGGGCGAATGTTTGTGATGTCTCAATTTATTTCTTGGTCGCCGTGTGTAGTCTTCGGTTTCCACTAGACCTTCAAAATGGACGTGTCAATTTCTTTCAGGCTTGTTCGTGTTCGAAAAAATATCTATCGGTTCTTATGCGAATGGCTGTGAATGCAAACCAGTCGTAGTAGTTACAGCTCCCAGAAGCATATTTTGGATTAGCTACCATTAGAGTAGTAGTTCATGGATGACCTCTTTCCGTGTACCCTAGCTACGCGTACTAATGAGACAACCCAAAACAATCAGCTTTCTCAAAGTTTCTGCACTTTTCTTTTTGATTGCCGCTCTGCATGAGCTTAGACTTTCAATTGTGGAATACGTATCTTTTTGACCAAACATCGACCGAGTCTTAAAGTTTTTAGCCCGCTCTTTGCTTTTATTTTTTATCAGAGTAGTCTAAAACGATTCCATATTACTCCTATTCCGAATTCGTACGAGTTCAAGGGTAGTAACCCAGTCCAACAATAGTAGGATAAACCTTGCGCAGATGAATATTTTGTAGATAAGCTGGTAAACGTATCTACTCTACCGTCAAGGTTAAAGTAAAGGGACACGAATAAAATTATAATTAATGTTGTCAGTCCTTCGTTTCGGCAGGTTTGTTGACCTGTGTCTGTTCAAGCGGGAATACAAGCTACCTTTCAGCCTTCAAGATTTTGAAAAAAAAAAAAAACATAAAAGAGATGCAATGATAGAATAAATCTTCAAATTTTGGATTAGGCTGATTTCTTATTCCTTTTTTTTTTTTTTTTCAAATTATAGTAGAGATAGAAATTAATTATTTTAAAACTTTATATATGTGTGGGGTCTTAAAAACATTATATATTTCTTGACATTTCCTTGAGAATATTCTGTCGTAGTGCTTATTTGTACAGGGTGATTGGATTCAACCTCTGATTTCCAGCAGTACTAGTAAAGTACCATTCAAAATACAATGGTTACTACGAGCCGATGTGAAACCTCTATATACGCACACGCGTGGAGTGACTGAACCTGTTTCGGAACAGCACCTACTTTGGATTTCAAAATAAAAATCGGAAAACCATAGGTGAAAGTGCCATTAATATCGAGAGGGTGAGGTGAGAGGGTACAATGTAACGTTTGCAGAACTTTCATGAGGAGGCACAAAAAGTAAATTTAAAAATCTGATCCGCTATAGGTTTAATGACTCTACTCCATTTTTGCTACTTTAGTTTTTGATGTTCTGTATTCTTCTATGGGTGGATGGGGGATTTACGGTATGGTGTCTCGGCGTTCCCAGTATTGAGGATCGCCCAGAAAGTACGTCCGTCATGCACCGTTACGAACCTGCCAATAAGTTCTGCACCTAGAGCTCTCGTAGCGCCTGATAGGTAGGCAACATCTTGGCTGCAGTGCATGCGTGTATTGCGGGGTGGCCCACCCTGACTCTCACAGGCGGCAAGCCCCCGCCATTAACCGAATGAATCGGAGGAAGAAACGGGCATTCTTCCTGGACGATTCCTTAACCGACGCAATTCGTTCAGTTCACTAGATCCCTTAAGCCAAAAATTTACGACAAGTTCAGTTTGCACGCCAATTATGTCTCCTTACAAGCGGCCTGCGGCTTCAGTTTGTAGCAGATTATGGCCAGCACACGCAAAAACAAAAAAAAAGAAAAAAAAAAGCTAAGAAAGCCAAGCTGTATCAGCTACATTCGTGATAGGTAGTAATATTAGGCCAGCTAACTTTCTAGTTCTAAGGTCGTGCCCGTAGTGGCCGTTCAGTATACTTATATGATGGCGAAACAGTTAGCTGCTACAGCTAATTTTACTACCTATCACGTATCCAGCTAATCTTATTTTTTCTTTGCGTGCAAGTGAGAACCTGGTCGGTCGCGTTAGGACATGAGGCTGACGCGCCCCTCCCGTCGCGCAAGTGCGGCTTCACAGAGCTGAGCCGTTTTGGCCGGCGCGCGCCAGTAATTCCTCTATCAGAGCGACGCCACTGGCCGGTCGACCCGGACGGCCGGTCGGCCTGGCCGGCAGCCCCGTCGGCTTTGTTGGCTTGCGGGTAGGCCGAGTGTGGGACCCGGTCTCTGGCAGGCCGCTGCCGCGTGCGTGGATTACCGTAGGGGAAGTCCCCTCCCCGCCCCACCCCGACACCCGTGCCGCCGAGTCCTCTCCACCTCCCCTCCGCCCCCAGCACTGGCCCGCTAACGACAGATAAATAATAGTGACCGTGCCAAAGCGGTTTAGGGGCTGTTCAGAAATCACGTGGGCTTTTAGGAGGGTGGGGGGGGGGTAAATATTATGGGACCCCAAAGGTTATCAGGGCGGTCATTGGAGTTCATGAGAAGGAGACCCCATCCCCATGATTGTTGTGTAGCCCACATGTTTTCTTTCTGAACGGTCCCTGAGGGGAGCGCGGAGTATGCGATTCCCAGTCTCGACAATATCGCCGGTCAGTCGGAAGCAAATTACTATCACCAAAGATTTTCCCCGAAACAAAACTAACAGTAGTCTAAACGGGCAACATTACCAGCGGCGGTGCTTTGCAAAGACTGTGAACGCACTAAATGTAATAAAAATTATAAGAATAAGAACTACTTGTAGCAGAGAAATGATAATAATTGCGTATGGTCGGTGCCGAACCAGAAGTGCGGCAGAAAACAAAATTGAAAATCAAAATATAGAGTAAGGCGTCTTGTACGAGAAGAGTCTGTCTCTCTCTCTATCTATCTCTATCTCCGTGTTTATTGAGATTGCGCTCGTCGATACACACAGTAAAAATGAATAAAGAGTTGGTGGACTGGCGAACATTACTTGTTATTGATTTGCAAAATTCCCTTAATTGTCCTATTCAACAACGCAAAGCCACGGTATGGCCCACTTTCATCAACCACTGCCCACAAATTCATTTTATTTTTTTTAACGAAATACATTTTTTTATCTCACGATGGCGTTCTACTGACTAGAGGGGTGAAGAAACATGATTAGATTTAGGGGTCGTCCACATATTACGTCACGCGTTTGGGGGGGAGGGGGGGTCTACGCTTGCGTGACGGTCCTATACCAAAAGCATTGGAAGGTTAGGTTAGCCGCGTGACGTGGGGGGAGGGGGGGGTCAAAAACTGCCAAAAATAGCGTGACGTAATATGTGGACGACCCCTTACACCAAACAGTCAAAAAGGATTTGGTGGCAGACAAAAGAAAAAGCATTTCTCCACCCTGGAAAAAAAAGTCTTAATTATTTCTGATGAAATTATCTTTCTAGCGGAAGGCAAAGACGCGGCCCCATGGTTCTCGGCTTTTTGGAGACGACCAGAGCCCGAAGCGAAACCTTATCATCTGACTGCCCCCCTCCCTTATTCCTTCCTCCCCTTATTCCATTCCCCTCCTCCGAGCGTCTTTCCCGTAAATCAAAGGCTCCCAGGAGAACGTCCGGTGGTCCTGCAGACTGGCCTGCGAGGGATCCCCCACCCCCCTCCTCTTTCCCCCCAATCATTTTCAGATCTTTCAGATAACAATTTATTTTTCATTTTTTTCAACCGACAGTTTCGCTCGAATCCTTGGCTATACCGCGTCGCGCGTTTGAGGGGGGGGGGGGGGGGGCAGAGCTTGCACAATGGAAAATAAATAAAATATATAATGCCGCGCTGCTGTTCCCCCGCGGCTCTGTATCGACTCGAAGCGTCACGCCCCGGGCGGAGCCTGGCGGAGCCCCAAGGCACGGCGCACGCTGTCACGTCGCCGGTTCAAATCCCCGCCGGGATGGCGGGGTCTTCTTTTTCTCCCTTCCGGCCTTGCGCCTTTATTATCCGCCGCCTGTCGCGCGCGCGTTCAAAATCCTCCCCCTTTCGAGCGAGCGCGCGGGATTGCTCCCCTTTTGTCTCCACCGCTGCTGCCGGGCCGGAGGACGTGCGCTTATTGTGTTGTGAGTGTGGAGGGCACAAGGCGCGCACAAGGGCACACCGGAGACACGCGGGAGACACGCGGGAGGCACGCAGGAGCAGCACAGGGGACACGCGAGAGGCACGCAGGAGCAGCACGGGAGACACGCGGGAGGCACGCGGGAGGCACGCAGGAGCAGCACGGGAGACACGCGGGAGGCACGCGGGAGGCGCGACGCGGAGCCTAATGTGCCCCTGGCGTGTCCGGCCCCATCAGGGTCGTGCCGGCGGTGCGGACGCGCACAAATTGTCAGCCGCACGATTTTGGGCATTTGGGCCGGGTCGGCCGGGTCGGGTCGGGCCCCGGCCGCGGGTCGCTTTAGCGCATCGTCAGCCAGTCAATCAGTCCGTGGAGCCTGCCCGCAGCCACAGGCGGACATGCGTCGTCAGCTGGTCGTCTTCGCGGCCCTCGCCGTCAGCGCGGCGCAGGCGAGGGTGCGTACCACCGAGACCGAGAGTGGGGCGGGGCGGGGCCAGTGGCCAGCTAGCTACCTCCCGCAGCCGAGCGCCTGCGCGCAGCGGGGTAGGCCACCGGGTGAGCACAGGTGCGTAGGGGCGAGCAGTGTGGCCTACCCTCCAGGCGATCCGGCGCGGAGCGGAGAGTCCTGGCTAATGGAGGGAGTAAGCCCCCCGGCCCTGGGGGAGGGGAGGGTGCGCTTCTCGTGAAGGAAAGGCGCCCCAAACCAAAGCTCCCCCCTCCCCCTTTTCCTCTACCCGCCAAGCACCCGCCTCGCTCACCCTCCCCGGCCCGCGCAATGCATACGCGGGGCCTCACACTATTACCGTACCCGGTGATTTAAACCCCAGCCAGCCAGACCAATCCTTACTGAAGGTAGCAGATTAAGAACGATGACGCTTCCAGAACTACGATGTTGTGCTAGAGAGTGTGGAGGGCTACGTTGCGAACCCAGAGTACGTCGGCGCCGACAGCCTCATGAGGATCCGACGAACGGACAAGTCGTCGCTGCCCAGCATGACGCACTACATTCACTTTATCAAGGAGCTGCCCAACATCACTACGGTGAGGGTTTATGTCGTGTTTAGCGCGACCCACCGACCGAGGTGCGTGAATCTCAATGCGTTTTAATGAGCAGGTGGAAGTCATCATCTACGAGAAGCGAGACAACCAGCTGGTGCCCAGCTGGCTCAAGTACAAGAACAACTTCTGCGAGTACGTCAACAACGAAAAGCGACCCATCTTCGACGCGCTGGCCAAACTGTATCGCTTCACGTGCCCCCTCGTGGTGAGCGAGTGAGGGACGAGTTCGGGTGTGTCGGTGTTGGTGTGGTGAGCGATCTGACAAACGGACGGGATGCGTTGGGCTGGAGGTACATCCCATGATGACGTCCATGTGACAATCGAACATTTGCGTCTATTAGAATCGACAAAAATTTCGAAGTAATTTCTCACTGCTGGTCTAGTTTGTAGCACCCAGCATCATGCTGCATAAACAATACCGACGGGGATGCACTCGGCTTTACTTCTGAGCCACCCTGTCATGTCCCGCAGGGCATGTACAAGGTGGACAACTGGCGGCCGGACGATCACCTCCTGCCGCCCGTGCTCCCGGGTCCCGACCGTATGATGTTCGGCGTACGAATCACCTGCGACACCACCAACATCCTCAAGTACGGCGTGCTGTTCCAAGTGGACCGGTCCAAGGCGGTGCGAGGGGGCGGACGAGGACCCGGGAAGGGAAAGGGAACATGAACGAGGGCAGCCATCAGTGCTGCTTTGAGTCACTATCCAGTTAAACAAAACTCCCATGTTTGTCCTTAGCCTTTCTTTCTTTTTTTATTAGAGTATTAATAATAGCACGAATAGTCCACAAAAAATTTGGCTGTGGGGATTACTTTACATAGGCACTGGAATAGAGCCGTCCTTCACCCGCCTAAGGAGATTCAGCTCGTAATTAAGTCTCATTATAAAATACAAACAGTATCTTTGCGAAATAACTTCTTAAAAATTGTTGTAAGAAATTAGATGCTACTTGTGTAGAGATTCAAGGAAAAAATTGCTCTTTTCTTCACAGTGTAGAATTAAGGATTCTACAACAAAAAATACGACCTCACCAGCCTAAACAGCATAAGAAACTCTAGCGCCAGATTGTATAACTTATTCAAGTCCAAACAACTGTTTCCAATGTGGTGCTATGGCATATGGGGCACATCTAAACATACAAAGCCCAGCCAACCAATCAGTAAGTGACACACAATATAAAATATTGACACTTTCACCAAACCTTAAAAATGTTAAATTATCAATCTATCACAGCTTTAATCTCACTAGGAATGTTGTCCCTTCAGAACAAGGCAATCACAAAGGCAGTAGCTCCTTAAGTGAGCTGGTTAACAAATTATTAAACAAATAACAAACAGTTCACAACTCACTCCATTTCAAATATCATTATCACAGTGCAATGAATATTCATGTGCGTGCAAGCAAATATTGCCAACTTTGAAAAATGCTCGTGGTCTAATTTTTCTATGGCCTGAAAACAAAAGGAAAGAAGGATTTCTAATGAAAATAGTGTGCACTAAAACCTATAATTATACACATAGTGAACTAGTTTCTCTTTTTCATTTTGTCGAGAAGAAATGCCTATGCGAGTACAGGGCTACTGAGACGTAGAAACCAAAAGCTTTCCAGCTACGAAATTTGAAAAAATTCTACAAATAACTGCAAATAAAATACATCATGTATGTGTATTCAATAAAACTATAAGTATGAAACGTTGCAATAATCAACCCAATTGAAAGAAACATTTTCTCAAACTGTAAATTTTGGGCAGTTGACAATATCTTTCATCACATAAATTATTTCAAGCCATACAGGATAGAAACCATTGTCAATACTCTCCTTTTAGCAAACTTCTCATGACAGACATACTTGAGCTCTTATATCCAGATCCAAAATGATTCCTGAAACAAGGAAAGCCATCATATCATAAGGTTGAATTTTTCTTGTTCTCCACCAGCCAAGTCAGATGGAAACCAATTATTGAATATAGCAGGTGGCCTATTATCCCTGCGCACTTTCGTAGTTATACTGTACCGCACGCAGGAGTGCGGGCGGATTTGCCTACCAAGGAGCCTTACGGGCCGAGCGCATAGGCAACCCGCACGCCCGTAGAAACGCAGTACAGCACAACTGCAGAAGAGCGCGGGGTTAATCAGACAACCCGTCCACGATAGAGAGTCAACATGCTCACCAATGGTTAAGGTAGTGAAACAGTTGATAAAGCTTATGTCTGCTATCGAAACCATGAGCTCTTGGAAAATGAGAGTGGTACGCTTCATAGAATGAAGTTGTGAAGCCACCAAACATTCCAGCAATTGCAAGTTCATACTCATGATGACCATAAAATGAGGCCGGGTCAAAAACAACTGAAACGTAAGTTAACTAGTTAAAATAAATAGATGACCCAAATTGGAGGAATAAGGAGTTCAAGAGTTAATTCTTGCCTGGACCACTCGATACTTCAGCAGCATTTCCACCCCACAAATCACCATGCAAAAGTGATGGTTCAATCTGTACATCTCTGAAGAAACGGGGTAGTTTGTTTTGCAACTGAGACCATAAATCAATAGTGTCTCGATCTCCATACTGCGAGCAGAAAACATCAACACGTCAACAAATTATTTAAGAATTACTTTCAAAATGTTCCTTTATGTTTGTTTTACCTCTTTTTCCAATAAACTGAATTGGTGTTGAAGTCTTTGTTGAGTAAAAAAGGTCTGATAAGAAAGAAAAACATTCCAAATAACTAGGGTGAATTTTTTTCCACATTTTTGGATGAATGAAATGCATTAAAATTGGCGCTAATACATAAATTGCATGTAAATTGTATGATAGACTTACCAGCCAGTCATCTGACCAGGCATTTTCTTGGGGGATGAACCCACAGCAAGTATTGGTGTGGAATCCAAACTGTGTAACATACTTAGGTGGTCCCCCTCCATCTTCACTTGTTCCTTCTTCAGTCTCCTTGGTGGGAGGTGGTTTTGTTACGCTGTTCTCTAGCTTTTTCGCTTTCAAACCAAGGTTTATATTGTGCTGATGGAGTTTTGCTAGTTCATGGCCAAGTCGTCTTGAATATTTTCGAAGTCCTGAAGATGAACAGATTTGTCTTCAGAGCAAAGTCACAAGGGTAAGGAAAGTATCAGAATCAAATAATGTCACATGTCCTATACCTTTCATTTCAAGATATTCCAAAACAATTGAGGATCCCCCTTTGGGATTGTTTAAAACTTTGATAGGTTTTGGCACTCGAACTGTATTAGTTGCAGCGATTGCAATAAGAGATGCCATTTCGCCTTCAAACATGATACTTGCCTGAGGAGAGAATGGGGACTATTGAGGTTATCAAACTAAAGAAATTGAAAGTAAAAAACTAAAAACAAACGTGGTCATTTCTTTACCTTTGATTTACCATTACTTTTCACAAAGTAAGTCCCTGTGTCAGTGATAAAAGCTTCCCCTTGATTGATGCATCCTCCTCCACCTTGGCCTGTCCGCTTCAAAGTTGTAGTACTCAGTGTTTCCTTCAGTAGGGCTTCCATTGCATGCTACAATAAGAACAGATCCTAGTGAGTAGTTACTAGTCACCAAAGCACAGTGAGCAGAGGTAGGTACTACTTAATTTCTTGAATGAAAAACGAAAACTGCTCCTTTGCAAATATTAGGAGGCTAACCCTAGCTAAGAACTACATCAGCGAAAGTGACATTTAACGAAACCGAAACAAATCACGAAATGAATCTAAGAGAAAATGTATTCTAAACAAACATTTGAAAAGGGAGGCAGTTGACATCAGGAAAAACAATAAGATGACCGACGGGCAGCACGGCAAGAGCCTGATCGATCTTGTATGACCTTACCTAAAAAGAAATGAAAGCCTCTGGTTCGATCAAATACACCTTAATGAGAGACGCACAGTTGATAAGGGCAATAGGATGAGAGTGATGTGTCGTCAATTATTTTAGGGAATTTTCTTTCAATGTAGCACTTTCTCGTGCGCGAGTCGAGTTTACAAACACACGCAGACGACAATAAAGGCTGCCTTAGCACCTAGCGCTGCTGCACTGTGTGGCAAAATGTCGCACTATAAAAATTTAGCCAACCAACAGCGAAAATACGAACAATTAATCTGCAGTAGATGAGAACAACCACCAATTATTTTTTTCAAAGAACTAGCATAACTGAAACAAATTTACATTTGACGCTTTAAAATCAAAAACGTATCCAAAGTAAAGGTCATGCTGGAGACTCTAAAGTACTTATAGGTTGACAAAACTGCTCCCATTTTTTTTTCCTCCCAGGTGGTTTGTGGTGGTTTGTTTACGTCAACCAAGCAGACACGCCGTCAAGGCCGTCAAGGTCCTTCTATCTATCCGGCCTGGTCGTCCTGTCGAATCATCGGTGCGGAGTATCCTCAAGTTGACCGCAGCACCAACTCCTGCCAGACCACCGCCTCTGCTGCAGCCGCTTGAGCCTCCTGTCCCTGTCGCTGTCGCCACTGACACTCGAAGATCGTTGCGTAATCTTTACTCTCTAATCGCCGATTACCGTCCCGGTGCTGCTGTGTCACTGTAAGCAGCACTGCAAGACACCGAAACGCTCCAACGGGCAATTAGTTCGTCAGGAGTCGGTCTCGAGTCGAGCTGCGTTCAGTTTTACTGTCATTCCCGGCCCCGTCGACACCGTTCAAAATGATCTCAGGTAGGGCCCTCCACTATGTTGTGCGCGTTCCCGATCGGAAGAAGACTATCCAGTTTTACAGGGATATCTTGGGCATGAAGGTAAGTTGGAATTCACTTATTGGGGGCGATATGTTGTGTGTTAAATAATGGGACCCAACAAGGGACTTACCAAGCTTTCGCTTGATTTGGTTCAGGTTCTTCGTCACGAGGAATTTAGAGAAGGATGCGCAGCTGCGTGCAATGGGTAAGTCTAAAATCAGATTTTCGTAAGTTTGGTCCTGACTTCTGTTAATCGACTTATTTTTTGTACTCTTTTGACACTCATTCCTTATTTTATGAATTATTTTCTAGTGGCTACGACAACAGATGGAGTAAGACGATGGTTGGGTATGGTCCAGAGGACACCCACTTTGTTGTGGAACTAACATACAACTATATGGTGAGGGATTACAAGCTTGGAAATGACCTTGTTGGTATCACCATAAGATCAAGTGAAGCTTTGAAGCGAGCAAGAGAGGCAAAGTGGCCTATGGTTGAGGAGAATGGGAAATATATTCTCCAGGCACCTATTGGATACAAAATGGTGATTGTTGATGAACCACAACCTTCAGATAAGGGTGAGTTTACAGCTTAAGGTGCGGTGGGGAAACGAAACATTAATTTAATTTTGTCTTCCCTGAACTTGATTTCAGAGTCAGGGTTGAGACAGTCATGGGCTTTTGGTAATGTTATTCATTCATTCTCTCTTGCACAATAGCTCAAATTTTAATTTAACTGTTCAATTTAATAGATTTGCTGCTTACTTTAATTTTGTGAATATCAATCTATACTGTGGTAATAATCAACATGAATCTACTAACTCTTTTAACTGCAGACCTACCCCTGACTTTTATTTTTTAGATAATTTTTGTAATAGCTCTTAACTCTTTTTTTTGTAGAGGCAAGCATGGAATGGGAATGTTTTTGCTGAATATGTACTATTTCTAGTTAACCAGACAAATCCTATCCTTTGTTGCAGACCCTGTTGAAAAAATATCTCTTGCAGTGTCAAATCTGGAAAAATCAGTCAATTATTGGCATGGTTTGTTGAAAATGAAAATATTGAAGAAGTCTGATAAGGCTGTTGAGCTGTCTTATGGTGAAGGACAGACTGTTTTAGAACTCTCTGACATTGGTGACTACATATTATAGACATAGGAAATGCTATTTATTGGTTAGCCAACCCCACAAGTACAATTTCAACTTATTTATTATTTTATAGGTGCACCAATTGTCCGTGAGACTGCTGGAGGAAGAATTGCATTTGCTGTGCCTTATGAACAACAACCAGAAATAGACTCAATCATCAAGAAGGCAAATGAAAAAATTTTGACACCCCTTATTTCACTTGACACTCCTGGGAAAGCAACTGTCAGAGTCATAATTTTAGCTGATCCTGTAAGTGAAGTGTTCCTATACCTTCTCCCTTGAAACATACTGTGTTTAAGACTCTCAGACTTCATGCAACATTTTCCAGGATGGCCATGAAATTTGCTTTGTGGATGAGGAAGGTTTCCGCCCGCTCTCTGCTGTAGATCCTGAAGGAAACGACCTAATTGAAAAATATATCCGCTTGGATAAATCCGACCAGTTTGTGGGTGAGTACAAAATTCTCTCATAAAGGAATGTAAATTCAATAATATAACATCAAATCTGATTTATTATAGGAACCACGTAATATAAACATCAACAACAATGAAGACCAAATTTTAATGAGCCCTGCAACAACTGCTATTGTCACAAGCTTGGAATCACAAAATTCGGCCGGCCTTGATAAATGACCAATGTACATAACTTGTCAGTATTAATAATAATACATATTTCTAGAAACAATTCATTCACACATGTTTTTATAAAGATTGTTCTGTATTCTTTGAAATACATTTAATTGTACATACATACATGATAACAAAACAGCACTACTTTGTAAGCACCTTTTTACAAAAGAAAACTAAACAAAATCAGTAGTCCTAAAATTGTTAAAGAGCGTAAAGAGCAGATAGAAATATTCTGCACCAACTCAGCGAAGACTTTTGATTAAAGGAGACAAATTACTGTATTTGACCAATAATCAAATCAAATTGAAAAAAATAATGGACAAGAAAATATGAAGACCACAAAAATGAAAATCATAAAAGAGAGAAAGAAAAAAAATTACAATATCAATGAGAATTACAAAAATTACTGTACTATGATAAGAAATATAGTATCACTGTTGTCACAGAAACAACATTCATATAAAGAAAACGTGAATACTTGAGCATGCAAACCAATTACTTATAGACAGAAGAGAGCACAAATCTAGCTTTCTTCTTCTTGATGGGATCGATAGTACTCATCATTGTCAATCTCAATTCGAAGAGGTGATCTAGGTTTAGATGGGCTCCTTGAAATTTTACTTTTACTCTTCCCATTTTTGGCTGCTTGCTTTTGACCTAATCTAGACCTTAAGTCTCCTCGAGGTTTTGATGAGCCTGCACCTTTTTCACTTGATGACTCTTCTTCACTATCCCCATCAGATTCTGACACTGAAGAATTATCTTGATCACTCTCCTGATGCCTCAGAGTTCGGGTAATGGTTAAATTTTCTTCACTGCTACTGCTCGTACCACTGTGATCATCTTCTGATCTACTTGACTCAGACGAATCTCTTCTCTCCTTTTTGATTCTGGTACTTCTGTCAGTAGATAATCGAGACCAGACAGAAGAAGCTACACTTCTCACTGTAGGTTTTGGACGAGAATGGCTCTTAACACGTTCTGACCTCCTACAAACCAAGATAGCACAATTTCATTAGTTAGATGTAATGAGTTCCAGAAAAACAAAACAAAACATGAGAATATACTAACACAACTCTATCCGAGTGGTCTGCTCTGTGACGCTCCGAGAAACTACTTGTTCCTCTTGATGAAGTTGGATGCCTTGATCCATCTCTACCCAAACGATCCCTTAAATCAATTCTTTCTGATGGATGATCTTCTTGTCTTGCTGGACTCAATCGCCTACGAGCCTGTAACTACAAACCCAGACAATTTGTTAGAGTTTGAAAATTCTTAAAAATTACAAGACTGGCTACACCTTAAGTTTAGTTTTACAAACCTTGGTTCTTTCTTTAATTTTATTTTCTTCTTCATCAGCATACATTCTCATACGGGGTATCTTGCTTTTTCTTGTCCATGAATCCCCTTCACTTTCACTTCCTGAAAATGCTGAATCTTCAGAATCGTCTTCATCCCTTCTACGCCGTTTTCCATAGTCTAGTCTAGCATGCACAGAAGACTTGGGTTTTACAAGGACAGGTTGTGGAGAGGGGGACTTCGATTTGGATCTAGATCTTGCTTGTCTCCTTGAGTGTTTGCTATGTAGCGGCCGCTGAACATGTTCTGCTCTCACACCAACTCTGTGTAAAATAGAGTGAGGAGGAAGAGGCATTGTGGGAGGTAATCTTAGAATTGGTGGCAATGCTGGTGGTAGAGGTGGCCCAAATAAGTCTACAAGGTATAGAAGTTGGCATTAGTAGATATAGATGGATGCAAATAACAGTAATTACAATTGGGCATGTAATTTACTACCAAAAAGAAAGATTTACCATCGTCTACTGGGGGTGGTGGAGGGCGTCTGGATCGATCAATGTGACCCCAGCTTTTAGCCAGAGTTCCCCATGGGTTTCTACCATCTTCTTCATCAGAACTAATGACAAAATCTCTATCATCACCCATGTCATCATGGAACATCTTGGGACGAACAAGAAGTCCCTCTTTGATTCGCTGCTTCCGGGATTTAGACACTAAACCCACCATGCCTGTGGATGTTAAAAATTGGCATTAAGATTGTAATAAAATATATAGCAGGAACAATAAGGATATTAATTAACTGACCAAAAACAGGCTGAGGTAATCTTTGAGGTCCATCACTCTTAGCTTCAGGCTGTTTTGGACGAAAACGAAGGAGAATGCCATCTGAATTAGGATGAGTAGTTCCTTTACGCCAATAGCCAGGAGGAATAGACAGACCCAACTCTAAAGCATCAATTGCTTCAGGATCTACTCCCACTGCAGCTTCAATTGCCTACAGAGCAAAACACAAGAAAAGCACAATTCCAGGTAAAGCAATTTAAAAAAAAAAAAAAAAAAAGAGTAAAGAAAAATCAATTCTACAAACCTCTGCAACTTTTTTGGTAGAACCCTCGTCTTCATCTTCTATCATAATAACATCACTGTCAGCATCTGACTTGTCGTCTTCATTTTTTTCTCTTTTTCCTTTCAAGGGAACCTTTGGCTTTTTAGGTTCCAGTTCTCTCAATTTGATCATATTTTTTATTGGTTTAGAGAGTCCCATTAATGCTCGAATAGCAGATAGATTGTCTAGCCAGATTACATTACCTGCGGCGATTTTAAAAACAAGGGCATTACATTGGAACTGAAAATATTTAATATGATATTAGCACACATTTTCACAACTTACATGATTCGTCATCTATCCACTCAATTGAGTTTGGAGCATAATCTTTGAAATACTCAAACACATCTTGAGTGCTCATTGCCTCTGTGCCATGCATCCGAAGAGAGTCAAAATGATACTCTTTGTCGTCGCCTTCTTTCACATCCAGGCTGCCACAGAAGAAAGACTTTAAAATAGTGATGTCAGAGGTTTACTTCAAGCAGATTTTAAAAGTTTTACTAATACATACCTCTGATACAGCCTTTTAAGTGATTCTTCGGTAATCAGATTGGCCTGAGTTGTGTCTAAACCAAATCTCTTTGCCCGCTCCACAAGGCGTGCCTGTTCTTCTTTACCAAAAACATCAATACCAGTAATGAAGCCACCAGCTCTGTTCTGTATTTTCATTTCTGATTCCTAAATAAAAACATTTAGAAGTTAATGTCAAAACATTTGCTGCAAAACACCTGCAACTTAACCTCCAAAGGAAGCAAACAAAAAAGCAAAGTGCGAAGAAAAGAGAAAATCGTGTAGAATTTGAATAAGAAGAAAGAAATTAAGAAAGCTTACCAAGGGACAGAAAACACGAATCCCAGGTATATCGGGCTTTTTAAGTACCTCCGGTGCTGCTTGGATATCAGCCTGAATGTCTGCTTGGATATCTGCATCATCGTCGGGCAGCTCTCCTTCTTCTGATTCAACATCCATTGTATTTTCTTTACGCACAACTTCTGAAGTATCGTCGACTTCCATTATGGTATCCATCATAGGAAGAAGTTTAGTTCCACACTGCGTTTTTAGGGAAAAAAATAACCTACAGGTATCCTGATCTACACATCTACCTTCTACCCACCGCCGCAGCAAAACAACAACAGGAAGGAAATAAACGAAAGACGAACGATCACGGAAAACGTTGTGCAGATAGGCAAATGCCTTATTTACACCACACTTGTTGTTGTTGTTGAAGTGGCGTTGAACTTGTTTTGCTAGACTGCCATTGAATTGTCAAATTTCTCTTTATTTCACTACTTTATGAAAGGATCTATCCTTAAGTCCGAGTTTCTTGAGATCTTCTTGTGTTACGTCAATAATTCCAGCTGTTTGTTATGAAAATGAAGAGGTAAGTTCCCTCTTTATCACGTTTAACTTCGTCGGTAACCTAACTTACAGCTGTCTGCCCCTGCTTTCTACTAAAACTTTTTGACATATGTCCTAAAATACTTTGATTTTTCTGAAATGATCATTTACAGCCTTATTCATTTGAAATAATTAAAACATATCCTGAGATCTAATGATAACTTTCCTTTACAGACTTGACATGATTGCTTGCGATGCGTCAAAATACTCAACTTAAGCGTACTGTTATAGAAGTTTACTATTGCTAGAGCGATGGATTTGCTGTATTCTGTTACAAGAAAACAATCTGTTAACAGTTCAAAAAATTATGATTTTGAAAGGTTTGTACAGTTTCCAGTTTTTGTTATTGTATCGCTCTCAGTGTTTCTTTGCGCATGCGCCATTCAGCCCTTTAAAATTTATTGCTACATCTGAACCATTTTGTTTATTTTACAGCCTAAATGAAGGGTATGCATTATGCAATGTATCCAGTCAAAATGTTGTTGCCTTTGTAACAAATCTAGAAGTAGATGACACTTCAGGAAAGACATGGGGCTCCCATGTTTATGTAGCAGACCTCAATACACCTTGGAATGTGCACAAGTAAGTCCTGTTTAAAGATTTATGTTATTAAATTTCTTATATGTTTTCTTTTTACATTTTTTTTTCATTTTTCAGAGTTACCTCAAACAAGGCACTTATAACTGCTATTGACTGGGACATCCCTGGCTCAAAATTACTCACAGCTGATGCCTCAGGAAATGTCCAGATTTGGACTAACAAAGAATACCTTCTTAATGATTGGACCTGTCTGGGAACAGCTACTTTTCATGGAGAAAACATAATTGCAGCTGCGTTTTTTCACAATGGCAAAAAAGTACTTGACAAGATTTTTCTTAAAATTTGAGCAATGCCTTTTATGATAAAAGTTAATCAACAGAAGAGGGCAAATTGACGAAAATGTTACTGAAAGCTTGTTTTTCTTTCCAGATATGCCTGGTGGCAGATAGGAAAGATGCTATGCATTACTATGACAAGTTTAAACCTCAAAAAATTGCAGCGTCAGTTCGGCAGTTTGGAGGAAAACCTGTTGAAGGTTGCATTGTTATTACCTCAACAGGAATGGTCGGTGTGGTTGGATTAAATCGGGGTGGCCCTGGAGGTGTTATTACTGCAACAGCTAGCTTAGGCTCCATCAGACACCGAATAACAACAGTTGACATCTGTTTTGGCAGAAGTTAGTTTTGCATTAGTAGGCAAATAAGATTTTTAAACTTCTTTTTTCCCTTGGGATTGATGTTTAATCCACTTTCTTACTTTCCAGATGGAAACTTTTTGGTAGCAGCTAGCAGTGGTAATGTAAATTTACCAATTCTATGTTACCAAGTTGGTGTGACCAAAACTGATGACAAACTGGTTGTTACATCTCAAGCTCTTCCTAGCTTTTTTCCCCAAAGTGGTCTTTCCAAAAACCCAACCTCACAGCGTAAGTTCTCATGCTGCATTGTGTCTTTCTGATATAGGTTTGTTCGGTGTAATATGTTTACTTGAATCTTATTCCTTGCATTATAAGGTCCTCAAGCAAAATTTGTGACACATTTGAAGTTCGTTGTCCGAGAGCATGCAGATTCACTTGTTGTTGCCTCTAGTACAGACCAAGGATCTCAGATTGACATATGGGAGTTGACAGAAAAGCCAGTGACAATTCATGCTATGTTTCAACAAAAGCACACTCTTTCTAGTGACTCTATAACTGTGGTATGTGTCATGATGTCATGATGAAATTTTGTATATTGCTTACTGTACTTTATTAGCTCTGAATTTCTGCATTCTACCATCAGACTTGGCAACATCATTCCCATTTTCCAAGCAAATCTTCAATTTCATGTCTGACTGTGTCCAAAATATCAATTACAACTGCTGATCCTCCGCCATCGTATGTGCTGGTAGCATTTGAAGATGGAACTATTACTTGTTTATATAAGGATGGTTTAAAGCAGGTAATACATACTATATCAAATCACTTTTCAAATCATTTTTTTAAAATTATTTTACCAATTCTTTTCTCCACCCTCACTGTATTTTACACAACAGGTGGCAAGTACATCAATCAATAGCATGTCATGGGGCCAACCTAAACAGCAACGACTTGATGGATGTGTTTCATACATGGATATTTCCTGGTTAGGTAATGTTTCTATTGCTGTCGATACACAGGGGCAACTTTATCTGTATAGACTTCTTCCAATCTCTGAACCAGGTGATTTTCATCATTTTAATTTTTTCTATCTACATTTTGTTTTTAATTTAATGAATTTTGTTAATGCATTTTCTCTCTTTTTCCTCACAGGGGCCCCTGTGACAGTTCCATATGCATGCACTTTACTAGAGTATTGTCTTGTCAGTGGGCTTGACTGGTGGGATCTTCTTGTCAGTCTCCGTCCCTCAATGCTTGAGGCAGTTTGTGAGCGTTTTACCGAAAGCTACAATCGTCAACAGCCTGCTGTTCAGCAATTTCATTCTTCACAGTTTCTGAGTATTAAAGCTTCCTTGTACAGGTTGGTACAATATGCTTTGACATGGTTTTTGTTGGCAATGAAAAATACTCAAAATACTCATAAAAAGTACTCAATATTGTATATTTTCTTTTGTTTAGATTATCTTTTAATTGTCAGTCTAAAGCAGCAGACTTAAATGCTTTGATGATGCTGCAATCTGTTGCAACTGCTTTCAAGTCTTTATTACGTCCCTCTGATCTTTCAAGTCATGAGAAGGGACCTGCTGAAAGCTTAGCAGGTAAGGTGATTTGAGGTGGATAAAAGTTGTGTCTTAGTAGGCTCTATGATTTCTTCTTGTGTACAACAAAATTTGTGTACTAGTTGTTGCAGAGCTACAACTTGATGATGTAGACAAAGTTCTCCAAAATGTGAATGCCAAAGAATTCACCATGGAGGGTATCATATTACAATCACTTCAACAACTCATTCAATGGGTTGCCGATTTAGCCCTGTCATTATTGGCTCGCCTTCCTCATGGAATAAAACCATCCGGGGTAAGTCAAATTGTGACTTATGTCAATTTTCTGTAGATATGAAATGATCAACTCTCCTCTCATGTTATGTTGTATTTTTTAAATTTCTAGTATGATATTCTTCGTGACTACAAAGCTCTAAACACATTAAAAGAGCTCCTCGTTATAATTCGTATTTGGGGGCTACTACGCAAGACATGTCTTCCAGTGTTCTTTCAATGTTTTGATAATATTGATGTCCTTGCACATATTTTTAAATTACTCACAAGATTTACTCAAAGTCAAGAACCAGATGACGCTCTCATTGGTATGCAACTCTTGTTTTTATTTTTGTTTCCTATTTTCATATGGGTAACTAATTAAGTGAACATATTTATCAACACTCATTTATTTTCTTATAGATGCCTGCCTTCAGTTGCCCAATCAAGTCATGATACCTCAGTTAAACTCACTTGTACCTTGCAGGGTGATTGCTTCACCTGCTTTTTTTCAACAATCTCTACCCCTACAGGTTGGTTATTGAGATAAATAAAAACTACTTGTCTTAATTTATTTATTTTCAAAGACAGTATCATTGATTTTATTTGTTCCGTCTGTTCTAGTTGGAATATGGATCTGAACCAGAAATGCTTCAGTTTTCACCTGAAACCAGTAATGTTGAAGGCGTAAGTAAATCAGACCAGTTCATGGACACAACACGCCACATTTATCTGGGGAAAAATCCACGAGTTCTGAAGCAGTGTACACGGTAATTCTTAATCCAGTGATTGATTGTAGTAGGTATTTATAAAATATTGTTCTTTTAGTCATTTTAAAACATAACTTTCTACAGGTGTGGTGTTCAATCTCAACTTCATAGTAGGGCACGAACTGCAGCAATTAGAGCTTGGGACCAGCGGTGGGTATGTGGATGCAGATGTGGTGGTCACTGGACTATCCACCAACCAGAGTCTTGACCCCTTTGGGATGTATATCATCACTGTGCTTTAAAGTTGTGCAACACACGCAGCTTTACTGAACAGTTTCTCTACGGCTCTGAAATTAACATGTAAATTGGTGTGTGTTGTACATATTGAATGAGAAGTTGTCATTTTATGTCCTTTTGTAAATATATGTAAACGGAGTTCCATTTCTTGATACCAATGTAATAAAACTAGCGGTAATGAATAATTTTTAACTTGATTTTTATTATGTTTTATTAATAAATAGCATATTACAAACCTAATACAGGCAAAATATCCATATTTGGCTTTCCAATGAAATTGCACGCATCATTGAAAAGACAAGGTAAAAACATTTGTGTTCTGCTAACAACATTCCGTATGGAGGTATCACAGATATTGAAACAAATTTAATTTAGAATGAAACTTCTTGTACCTGAATCATGACAAATTAAGAAATTTCCGTCAGACAAACTGCATTTAGCTTCACACGACTTTAACCATTTACCATTTGAGAAAGTCAATTTTTAAGGAAATAAACAACAATCAAGTGAGTTATCAGTATGATTACCTTACAGAAGGCAAAGTAATTATGTGCAATAAATGGAGAAATCTACTGACATTAGAATTCTAACCAATCAGCTACAGCTTCACCACCAAACCACCACGAAGAAAATAGGCCTGTTGTATCAAAGTGATAATTTTCTAATGCAATCCTGTTACCAGGATATACTGTCGTTTCAACTGCATTATACGATTCTTTCAAATTGCAACCAAATAAAAAAAATGTCAAAAACAAAACAAAGTGAATTTGGGTTCCTTCAATATCAATTATACGGATTGAACCAGGCAGTAAAATCAAAAACTTGTTGATTTAGAAGATTGGAAATTCATCATCACAGCAGTTATAAAAATAACAATCTGCACTACAACTCACACTAATAAAATGTAGCAGTACTAACAATATATTAGTAATCTCACAGGTTGAAAACATAAAAATGACATCAAGATTATTGTGTAGGATCAACTGCTGACAGGTTGAATGCACTTGCACTCGAAGTGGTAGAATTACAAAAGTAGGGGGCACAAACTATCTAAAACATCAGCAGTAATTTAAAATCACCTCTTCACATTAGAAAATGATCATCAAAATCAATTTCTTAACAAAGCACACCAGGCGGACGGTTCACCCCGAGCACTTCGGGTGTGTAAACGGGTTTGCTCGTAATAGCGTTGACCACTGCTCCTTGTGACTGCAGGCAAGTGGCAGCCCCCACGCACGCCTGCGTGCCGTGCCGTGCCGTGCCGCGAAGCACACTTCCCAAAATGCTCGGCTTGAACCGCCCATCCGGCGTTAATCACATCACATCCTCTGCAATCTGTAGTCAAAATTGACTACCGGTACTTGCAAATTTTTCATTGGCCTTGCCATAAGCAAACAGATGTAAGCCAGAACAGACATACTTCATACATGTTCAGTTCAAAGTTTTCAAAGTGACATAGGATCAGGGGGATGACATAAAATTTCAGACAAAATGCCTTAGGCGAGGTGATGACGTAGATGTATGATGGTCATGCAGAAAGCCTGGAGAGGCACTATAGGTGAAACGCTTGTCATTAAAACTGGCACTAATAGATACTTCTGGCAGAAAGTCATCATCATCATCATTGTCTGCTTTCTCAGTAGTTTCTTCACTTATGTCATCATCTTGATAGACCTGATAAGTTGGATCAATAACGCATGACGACCTAAAAATAATGCAGTGATATTAGTTTTAATTGATAAAAAAAAAGCTTTTCTGTTCTGAAAGAATTTCATACCTTTTCAATTTATAAGGGTCAAAGGGGAAAAATGTTTCAAGCAAGCTACTTGGTTGGTCAGCTTGCATCACATGGTTTCTAGTGTGAACAATAGGCACACTATTCCTTGAGTTGCGTTCTATCACAGAATTGCAATAAACTAATTGATATGCCCGAGTTATGGATGAAAACTTTTTGACCAACTCAGGAAGACAAACTCTAAGAGGGTTCAGAGTGCACGTGACCATTTTGGTCAAATTTAGTCCCCTCAAAAACACCATATCTACAAAGATAAAAACATTTTAATTAAAGAGTTATCAAATCATAATAAGTTTAACACTGCTACAGAAGGAAATACAAACTTTGTTTTGTTCGGAATAGATCTTTATGTCTGAAACATAGCAGATAAAAAAGTGCTTGGCAAACACTGTAAAATACTATATGCAGTCTCATCTCAACTGTTTTCTGTCCATCTTGATTATTAATGTAGCTATGAATCCAATCCGACATCTCCTGTAAGGTGCTCTTGAGAAACCTGGCAGGACAAAGATATTTCAGTCACTTCAACAAATACATTTATTTACAGACTACCAATATATTTCAATACTGCTGATACACACTCTATTTTGATAAAATTGGCACGGGCAAGAAAGCTTGCAACGTAAGCTGCAGCAGACTGTCTTGTTACAGGAGCAACATGAATGCCTAAAACTAGACGCCATAGGTACTTGACATATACTTCAGCAAGTTTAGGTCTTAGGCTGCATATGAACCACATCAGAAATTGAACATGATGAGTGTTGTGTGTAAGCAGGATAACTTTTTCAAATACCTGTGAAAATGAAATACTTTTAAAAGTTCGTATATTATATGAATTACAAATATATTTGTGGGAATTAGAAAACAATTCAAACCTCTTGGAAATCTTTGTACACTGAATAGCTTCTATCAAGGGTTGTCTCTCCAGTACTTGGGTCAGTACATTCATGTTTTATAAAAGTAAAAAGTCTCATCATTAAATGGTCTAGAGTTTTGGCAATTGGGTGCTTATGGCCTTGTTCTTGTTCCATTGAGAAGATGTCCTCATCAACATCCATAGCATCATCATCTTCAGCCTGTTCAATTTCAGACCTAGGTGCGTGCGTGTCCAAATCAACTAGCCTGAAGAAAACAATAATAAATGGGTGCCACAGTACGTTTAAAATGTTCATATAAACATTAAAATATGTAAGTTTTTGTAGACAGACTACACTTTAACAGAACAAAGAGTACTCACTTCTTGGTAATTAAATACAGAAAATCTTTCCGAAACTTGGGTTGATATTTCAATATTTCCAACATATTATGGACAAATGCCTGATGCTCTTTAGTAGAGCGTTTGATGTAAGGAAAAGCTGATATTATTGAAGGTAATAATATATCCCCTGCCCTGGAATTAGAATTTCATTGAATTATGTGTATGTTTATAAGACTTATCGAACCGTTTCATGACAATCAGAAAACTTACATTGGAATTACTCTGAGCAACCTATTCAAGACACAATGAATATTTTGGAAAATTCTCTCTTCTTCAGGGGTTGGCATCCCTGAGGTCCATTCAGTACTTTCATCAGAACCTAAGGAAGCTAAAAGGTAAAATAAGCATATTAAGAAATAATTTCATATTGCAATATGTGCTAATGTTGATAGAAAAGACACAAGAGACTGCTTCTAACCTCCTTTGAAGTTCACAATAAGGTGGTCTAATACGGCTTTTGTATGGTAGCTGTGGGCTGAACAAAGATCCAAGAGGAAACTTTGGAAAGCTGCAACAGCTTCAGGTCCACGATGAGCCCATTTGACAATCTGGAAGAAAGGATTAAAATTGTAAAATTGAATGGATAACTAAACTATTGGCTACACCAAATACATTTAATTTAACTTACCAATAAGACTTGAATGAATAAACAAAGGTTCTGATCTAAGAGGGAAACACAATCTTGAGCCTCTCTTAGAAGAAGACAGAGCTCTTTGTCCTAGAAAATTAATATGTGTGAGACACAAAAATTTATGACAGGTAGGTAACAGTTAGGTTATCATATAAAAGAGCAATTTTCTAAGCCCAGTATGCAACTTAAGTCTCACCTTAACTTCAGAGTCTCGTAGAATGCACACTAAGTCCTTGTATGGACGGTGGTCAAGACCATTGGTAAAGTTGAGAAGTGTGCCTTTCAGATTTTTGGGTAACTGAAATTCAACTTTTTTAACCGCCGTCGCTTGGCGAAGAATGTGGGAGCCAATCGAGCTTCTATGCTCCTTGATAGTCGACATTTTGGAGACTGGAAAGATAATATTAGCATTGTTAAGTAGTTTTAAGCCACTTGCATAACTTGTGAAATCCCCATTCAAAATAATTGGTTGAGGAAATGTGCTAACACTACGAATAGACTAATAGTACGACGGCTGGACAGGAATATTTTCCCTCATTCCAGTAACTACAATGAAAAAACAATAATATTTGTCTATTAGCTTAAGGTTAGAATATAATTTACAGGAGGAAGAACTTAAAGACAGAAAAGCCAGGTGGTGCATAACATCAACAAAAAGAAAGTAATTCAATTCACAGCAGTTGAAACAAATTCCATGGATATGCAAAACAGTTGATTAAATTTAAATGTCCAATTTCGAAATGTCACATGGGTTACAATAAACATACCTTAAGGCTACTCTTGACACGACGATTCCCGCTCGCAACACTTAAGAAATGAGTAAAATCTCTGTTCCTCGATATATCAGTGTACGCGGAACTTATTAAATACATTTAACTAAAATAGGGTATCCCTTCAAAGTGTAAAAACACCATGAAAACACTTTGCCTTTGAAACCACGTTGTGCTCACACACGCACGCAGCGCAGCTGTGCTGTCTGTACGCCCTGCACAGTACAGTCAGTCGCAAAAACACACGACGCTACACGACGCAATAGAGTAGTGTGAATAAGGGAAGGAACTGCAAATAATGCAACAGCCAGACTGTTATTGTTTTCTTATCAAAGGCAGCGGGTATTTTCACCGGTAAATACAAAATTGTTGTGTTTGGTTTGGACCATCGTTTTCGTTTAGCGATACGTTTAAAGATCACGTTAAACATCATTTACTTTGTCGAATATTTGTTTGACGTGGCATCAAAATAAATGCCCAGCGTCAAGACGTCAAGACTAACCTCTAAAGCCCGCGTTTGGACCAAATTAACTCTCCAAGCCCCTCCGGATGCAAGGTAATTGCATGTTTCCTAGTCCTAGCAAGTAACGCCGATCTTTTAATGTGCATGCACAATAAATTCGCTCGTAATGTGTTAGCTTTCATGAGCAATGCTGCAGTTAGCGCGTGTAAGTGCATCTGCTCTACTGGGGGAAAACAGTAGGGGCTCTTAAAACTCGGACCGGCGCGGGAACCCGGGTACCTGGGTAGTCCCAGTATGTAAAATTGCGTGCTACCTAAAGGCCTACCTAAAGGCACGGTTCTACCGGCTCTACCCGGGTAACCCGGTTAGACCCGTTTACTCGATTCTTACCTGGGCGGGTGGGTACCCGAGTTACCCGGGTACGCTGGTCACGGTGGAGGGGTCTCCGTGACACGTGAGAGCCCTACTCCCACAACCGTCGCCCTCGGGCCACTTCATGGACAGTCCCTAAACCCAGTCAGAAATTTTTCCGACGATATCGTTTTGATATCGGGTTTTACGTCGTTGTATTGCGAAAGCAATGTGGGGCTAACATTGACGGCTTTTCGACAAACGACGTCATTTCGATGTCGTTTCGACGTCGTTTGTCGAAAAGCTGTCGATACTAACCCCCGTATAGTTTTGCCATGCGGCCATGCGTAGGATAATGGTAAAATCGGCTTCACGGGCGCTGCACTGGGCGGGCAGACCCACGCGCGCTCCGCCGCGCCACCGTTTGCGAGACTGCCCGCCACTCTTCGCTGTGGACTGTTGTAGCTACTTAGCCCTGTGGCCTGATTTGTGTTCTTTTCCCTTCCGCCCGCCGCGCCATTGGAATACCCTATGGAAGTGTGTGGGTGGTTGGTGGTTCGAATTTACCGCTCGCAAATTCTTGTGTTTCCCGCCCCCGCGAGCCATGGGTGAAGGTGGCGGTGTGTGGCCTGAAAGGCCTAGGGCACGCTGTTAAAAGCTTACGGCGAATTTCACCGCAAGCTTCGGTGAACCCTGCAGGACTGTCGCTAATAGCCAAAAGGACGCGCACTCAGATGAGATGGTACCTATCGTCTACCGTAGGCAAGCTGTTCCCAGCAACAAAGTGCGCGTGAAAGGTGGACGGTTTCGAGTCTTTCGGGTGATGCTCTTATTAGCAGCCAGTAATTGGCGATCGAGCCACTGATGCATCTGGACCCCCCTCGCTCTTCTCTTTTGCTACGCACAGAAATTCCGGGGACTATAGGTGCCGTAGGTACACTACATACTCGGCGACCGATTCGCCTCTCCCACTCGCGCAGTTAGAGTGTACCGCTCGCACTGTTAGATTCCTGCAAAGCAATGCTTTGGAGAACTGCGAAGAATTCACATCCTTTGTACCTACGAAGCATTTTTACTTTGAAATTACCTCAGAATGAACGTACGCCCGCTTGTTGCCTGCGAAACTGCCCAGTTGAGCCAAATGGAAGCTCTCATAGCGCCTGATCGGTAGGCAACATCTTGCCTGCAGTGCACGCGTGCACCGCGGGTTTGCCTACCCCGCTTTTCGCAGGCGCCGAGCTCCTATAATTTGACGAACGAATATCTGAGAGAAATCGGACGTACTTTGGAGATTTGGGGGCAGCTCCCCGGAGAGGAGAGGGATCTACAACGCACGGTGACTTCACCAAAGGCGTCTCCAACAACACTGATGAAAACAGAGTGATGGTAAATCGGGGGTACCGGGTGTCCGGAACAATACGCGGCAGCCTGATGAGTGGCCTACGCACTGGCTCGCAGGCGCTGGGGGCGAGGGGGGAGCGGTTAGAGGTGGCGGGAGGCTGCCGGTCCCCTCCACCGCTCGGCCGCTAGAGCGCGCGCTACAGTCACCCTCGCAGGGAGTAGCGTGGTGGGAACGGGCGGCAACTTGCGAAGGGGTGGGGCGCATGAACCTCGCGCAACCGCGAGCTACCTTGCGGTTTCGCGGGGGTGCTCCTGGGGGCGCGAGGACCCGCGGCAGGACTTGGACTCATCCCCCGCGGATCCGCGACGTACCCTCGCGGCCCCGTGCCTCGCGGGACCGCGAGCCACCCCTCGCGGATCCGCGGAGCACCCTAGCGGCCCGCGGAGCACCCCTCGCGGGTCCGCGACGCACCCTTGTGGCACCGCGAAGTACCCCTCGCGGAACCACGAAGCACCCCTTTGCGGAACTGCGGCACACCCCTCGCGTGTTCACCCTTACTTTCCTCCCCCCTCCTCCGTTCGTCAGTGTTCGGAGCATTGCCTTACCCCACCCCCACCCCTTCGCAAGTTGCCGCCCGTTCCCACCACGCTACTCCCTGCGAGAGTGACTCTAGCGCGCTCTAGCGGCCGAGCGGTGGAGGGGACCGGCCGCCTCCCGCCACCTCCAACCGCTGCCCCCTCACCCCCAGCGCCTGCGAGCCAGTGCGTAGCCCACCCATCCGGCTGCCGCGTATTGTTCCGGACACCCGGTATTTCACCCTTTTGCAGCCACACAGTAAGCTGCAAACGACCCATGGCCGCGGACAGCGTCATTTTAACCGAGTGTAGACCAAGTTCACTAGCGAAAGGGAAGAGGAAGTAAAAGCACCCAGCCAAATTACATTCAAAAGTGGAAGTACGTTAGGCCTTACCTGCCCTATCAAATCATCAAAGCTACCACCGAGCCGACAGAAGGTTCGGCGTGTTTTAAAACTATCAAGGATGATTAGTTAGAAAGTCGATAGTGAAAGAGGCTGAAACGATAGCTTCAGACAAAGAAATAAACAAGCAAACTCCTTTAAATAATAAGGTTTACAGTAATTACTTTCTTTATTTTTCTTACTCACATCACATAGAAACATACATTTAGCAGAGAACAACATTTTTCCGAATGTTTATACAATAATAATCATATAATTCATTCTACAGTTATTTTTTGAAACATGAACTTTAAATTTTATCTTAATGTAATTTTATTGTTATTCTCTTCATTTTTTTCACAACAAAGCAACAATTCAGAAGATGTGAAACCATATGTGCAAGTTAAAGAAATGGTAATACCCCAAAGGGGACCTAATGAAATCTTTACAGACTGTTTACAGGTTTTGTCGAACGACAGTTTATTATCTTTTTGGTCTGGCGGGTGCGGACACACAGGCATTGGCAGGGAACTCACAAAAATTTGTTGCTTCTATGACCTTTGATCCAAGAACAGTCACAGAAGCTTCATGAAAGCAAACTATTTTCGTTATACAAAGATACAAAAGGCCGAAGGTTTAATTTGAACTTTAGAGTGAGTCAATTCCAAAACACTGTCTATGACAGAAAGCCACGCGCGTTCCGCACCACGCAGACACCCCGGACACACTCCTCGTTCTAAGGACACTCACAACATGTCTATAATTACTAGATATAAATACAGAACTGTACAAAGGAGCACTTTAAAGGAAATTATCTACCAAGTTTGAACAGACTGTCTATTTTTGGAAGAAACAAGGAGGGCGAACAATGGGTTTGTTACAAAGGAGGGCACTGCTTTTTGTTTAACACGAACCTTATTGATTTGTAGAAAAAAAATGAAACACTGAGCTAGAGCCCCCCATAAAACAAAACAGCAAATTATACATAAAAAATATCAACCAAAGCTTTAAAGGATTGTGCAATGTTATATGGAATGATGTTCAAAAATATATATTATGTAATCAGACATGTATTTTCAAAATATATTTCAAGCTGAAACACTCAATAAACACTGTACAGAAGGAGGTTTCTGCCAGCCAAGGGTGAAGGCCAAGCTCGACCAAGCCTCGCTAAATAAATGCAATAAGTTGTACCAGTGTGGCTAGTAAGTCCTGATAGGTACTTGACAGGTACGTGAAACGTATCTAGGGGTACCTGGAACACAAGGGTTCCAAGTGGGGTCGAGCGACGCAGAAATTAACACGTTGTTTACTTAAAAGAAGAGTAACAATGGTAAATATTAATTTAAAATTATGAAACGTTAGCATATATTGCCAGTCGCATCATAGCACAGTGAAAGAGCAATAACAAGAAACAAATTGTGCACAGTCTTACATATGAAATAATAAAAATGACGACTACAAGGCTTTCGAAGTTGTAAAGTGGCCCAGCGAAAATTGAAATTGAGTTTCAGCATGAAATACACAAAGGGCAGTTCACTCGACTAGCAGGATCCTTTGGGCGTTGTGCGGTCTACCAGCGTCTACATTCAAATTTTGCGCGTTTCCGAAACGTAATAAGGATTTAGCCGAAAGTATGGAATGTCCTGATCCGCCAAGGAATGAGTTCGGAAACGCAAATATTCGAGACGCTTTTTAAACAACTGCTTTGCAATCATATGTCTGAACGCAATAAAATGAACGCAACAAAACAACAACAATAACACGAGGCAAGTACTTTTTTTTTGTAATGATAAAAAATGAAAGGCAAAGTGGAAAGTCTTTTGCGGATGAGAAATTTAGTCACGTTTAATCAAAACAACACACTTTGTGCTGCAAGAAAATAAGGATAGAGAGATCGGGTAGCACAGCAAGACAAACCCGTATGACTAGATAATAAGACTTATTTACTAACTCTAGGATATCCTCTCGTCACAAAGCCGCAAAAGAAACATGAAAAAACTTTTTAAAATATTTTCTACAATAGCAACAAAATAAAACTTACTACTATGTACAATGATTGGACAAAACCTTTGACAATGTACGTATAAATGTCTGCATAAGGAGACCTGATTCACCGTATGTTCCTCGTTTGTGCCCGCAAGACAACAAAGTACAAACGAGGAGTGAACAAGCTGTGAAAAATGGAAAGTAATGAAGGCAATAGTGAGGAAAACATGCTAGTTACAAAATCGACAGGAGGAGGAGGAGGAGGATGTGATAACTCAGTGACTGTGAAAACGAGCTACCAACGTAGTGACTTACTTAAAACAAAAAAACACGCCTGATCGCGAAGGAGAATCCGAAAAGAATACCGGGCGGTGCGACGCCCCGACAGCGTTCCGACGACTGTCAGAAGACGTCGCAGGGACGTCGTAGCGACCATGAACCTCGGCGGAGAGTCTCTCAGGACATCGGGCTGAACGCTAACTGAACACGCATTGGCACTTCACTCCCTTGTGGAACTACCAACCGAACAAAACTGTACAACACTAGTGCTCCTTAGGAAGCCAAGATAGACCTCAACAACGGAGCACTAGATTTGACACGGAAAGAACAGTGGCAGTTTTCAAATCTTTCACAATTATTAATTAATTGTAATATTTAATAATTAGAATAATGGCTTTTGCTCTATGAAATTTACAATTTGTTTCGTTTTATAAATACATTCCAAGAGATATAGGGAGCCGTGCCCGTCTTTGATACACGGCGCAACGACAAATTTCTTTTTTTTTAATAGAGAGAAACTAGAATTATCAAATTAGCAAACTGTAGCAGTTTTGTCGTCCCCGCCAGCCTGGGCCAACGCACGGGCCAAAGCCAGAGCCGGCCGACTTGGTCCGAAACTCACAAGTTTTTTTTTCATATTTTATTGCGTATGGTTGAACAAAAAACAATACGGGGGAAACATTCAAAAATGATAGGAAGGTGTCCAAAGCAGGAAGGTCATTCAAGACACTAAAAGAGACACTTATGTACACCGAAAATGAATTAGAGACGAGACGTGGCGCACAATCCGAGCCCCTAAAAAAACAAGTCGTGTTCGACGAGGGTGGGTGGGCCAAAGGAGCGATCAATGATGAAGATGGTCCAAGAGTCTTTTTTTGTTTAGAAAAGGCGCTTGTTGCGGGGCCGTATTAAGGGCTGGCCGACAGAGGGGGCGGCGTAGAGCAAGTTGCCTATATACAGAGGTTTTATAGCTCAAATTGCCTACCTTTAAGGAGGCTACCGACATAGGGGGTGGTCCCCCCCTCCCCCCTTAATACGCGCCTATCTAATAGAGGCCGCAGCCGCGCAGATTGTTGGCTATGATGACATCTGTGACCGCGTCGAACACAAACTGGATGTTGTTGGTGTCCGTGGCGCAGGTCATGTGGCAGTAGATCTCCTTCGTCGTGGACTTGTTCTTGGCCTCAAACTGGGCCTGGATGTAGGCAGCGGCCTCGCCGTACTCCTGGGCACCTGCGTTGCAAACGACATAATCAGTATACATTGCCCCGAGCGCCAGCCACGGTGTCTGCGCGCAGCGCCGCGTAGCGCCTGCGAGTCCGGGATAGGCAACCCGCCGCGGAGCTGTGCCCGACGGGACTGCCGAGTCAGAGGCGCCAGGCGCTCGCAAAACAACTCACCTCCGTACTCGACGAAGCAAATGGTTAGCGGCGACTTCTTGATCTTGTCCTCGAACAAATCTTTCTTGTTGAGGAAAAGGATGATGGAAGTGTCCGTGAACCATTTGTTGTTGCAGATACTATCGAAAAGCTTCAAACTTTCTTGCATACGGTTCTGAAACACACAAAACAGACACAACATGCGATGAAACTGCGCGGAATGCGTGGGAACGCGTGGGAGATGGGCGTGGTGAACGCCCCCCGGCCATGAGTCTCAGAGTAGTCGAACGGGGCGTGGCGCGGGGAGAAGGGGGGGGGGGGGGGCGCCTCCACGGGGATGAAGACTCTCTCCTCGCGAGCGGTCTGCGGCCTTGGTGCCTCTCCACAGCCCCCCTCCTCCTCTCCCTTCCCCTCCCTGTCCCGCTGACACTCGTCGCGTCCTTCGCACCAGCTGGGGACTTATTGGTATAATGGCGCATCGCATCCGGATCCAGAAGGCGGCGAGCAGGCGTCACGGAGGACGCAGGCCCGCCCTCCACCGGTGACTGCACCCGCCAGAGTCGACAAAAATCAGTTTATTAGGGCCGATCGTCGAGGCCACATAGTGACCTGCGCACACCCGGCCCAGCCCGCGACTCGCCCTGCCACAGGCCGTTGTAGTAAGGTGTAATGTAGATAGTCTCCATATCACCTTAGGCTGGAGTCCCTCTCCTCACCTCTCGTGCCCCTCCTCTCACCCGTGCGCGGCCTATGTGCCTGAGAAGGGGTTTGTTTCGCATTTGCCGCGTAAAATATCCTCGTAATTGTTTACTATATACTTTAAAATTTACGACAGCCAATTCCTGCTCGGCGATTTTGAACTGTAATTTTTCGTTTCCTTATGGAAAATTTCCCCAGGAAATGTACAATTATTTTTCTCAGTGATTGCAAAGAATTTGTGGAAGATTTTTTATTCGCAATTGAGGAATATTTTCTCTGCATTACAAAGGAAGTCGTTTAGCTGCTTTGTAATTACAAAGCAGCCATAACTGTCCGTACATAGGTCGGAAGGCAACAACGGGCAAGCATTAACACATTGAGCGCGATAGGGCAAGGTATATTGGCATTATACAAATTTCTATTCCTAGAAGAAACAAAATTCTGCTTTCCAATCTTTGCAGCAATGTCGAAAAGAGACACGGAAATTAAAAAAAAAATTAAAAAAAAAAATACAGAAAATAAAAGATTGGTGCGGGTGAAAAACGCGTCTGACGTTCAGCACGTTCTCCTGCGGCCAGGTGAGGCAATAACAACCAATCACTTTCCACGGGCCCTTTCTCTTGACCCTCCCCGGGCTCCTACCCCGTTACATCCTGCTCTGTGCCACACGCATCGCTCTCTCCGCCCCCGCCCCTCCCCCTTCTCTCTCTCTCTCTCTCTCTCTCTCTCCCTCTCTCTCCAGCGAACAGATTGTGGTGACCATGGCAACGTGCTGGGCTGGGTCGCGCGGGAGCAAGGTAGGGAAAATGGGAGAGACAGAGAAAGAAAGGGGGAGAGGTGAGGGAGGGAGAGAGACAGAGAGAGAGGTGGGAGGGCTTATTCGTGGGACGTGGCGGAGCAAGGGGAAGCGGGGCGGAGGAGTGGGGTGGGGTCTTCCTTTGCCGGTCGATATTACCAACGAGGGTCGCGGGTGGGGCGGGATTGGGAGGGGGGGGGGAGGAGGCTAGGGGGGCAGAGGGCTCCAGGCTTCGCTCCGCCCCACGCGCAGCAGTACTGAGCATGCCGCCCGTTTGGGGCTGGGCTGGGCTGCCCGGCTGGGCTGGACGGGCCGGGCGGGACGGGCACAACATCCCGTCGAGGGCTCATCGCCCGCTAAACGCCCCAGAATGCCCTTCGACGGCGCTCGCCTCTCGGCCCGCTCGCTAGATAGGCGGCCCACACCTTTATATAGGGTGTGGGCGGTGTCGGCCCGCACCGCCCGCACGCATCCGACAGGGGGCGGTGGGACCGTCGTGGGAGAGAAAAAGACCGATCGCGCAGAGGCGTGGAGGGCGTGGAAGAGAATGAGGGGGTAGGGGTGGGGGCGTAAGGCTCCCTGTGTGCTCACGCTCTAACTTTACTGATGAGCAAGACGATTAATACTGGGGCGTTCTAGTCTCTTTTAGAATCCCCGCGAATAATTATTGCTCACCCCTTAATCGTGCCATTGTACTCGCACTTACTCCCCCATGTGGTGCATTATTTACAGCTACGCCGTAGTGAGAGGGGGTTTGCGGCTCCCGCGCGGATTGCGATCGCACACACTTTTTTTTTCTCTTTTCCTCTTAAGACGCAAGATTCAGCGTCGTGCCCCTGATAAGACTAGCCTTGTCTCCCTGAATAGGTCCGCCCCGCCCTGTTGGCAGGGTGCCCAAGCACGCCCCGCCACGCCACGCCCCGCCTTGCCTCGCCACGCCGAGCACGCGCGCGCTGGGCGGGCTGCCTAAGTTGGCTTCGCAAGGCGCTCGCGCCCCGTCTATCGTCCGCTCATACACAGTGTTGTTGTTTTTTTCTGAAGCTCGGGTTGTTCTTTTCTATTTTTTCGGTATTTTCTCCTACTTAAAACGGCTCCGTTTTTACTTCTCCGGTCCCGTTTCTCCCTTCAGCGGGAATGCCCGGTCGGCCCGTGGCCCGGCCGCACCCCCACGTTAAGTGGCCCGCTTTGCCGGGCTGCGGGTGTTTCAAGCGGCACGCGACACGCGAGCGCTACTTGGCAGTCGAATCCAGTTCCTGGAAATTTTCTCCCCTCCCCAAAAGTACTGATTGTAATTACCTCTCCACCCCCCTACCTGCTTGCGTCTCACTGTGCCGAAAGCAGTGCCAACTATGGTGCTCCCGAGTTCCCCCCCCCCCCTCCAGAAAAGCTGAGGGGAAAATCAGTGTCTTGGTTGAAAACACTTTAGAATCTTTCTGAAACATCAGGAACAGTCAAATTTTACTCTAAAGTGTGTTTTTTTTTCAAAATTAACTTGTTTCGGTGCAGAGTAGTAGCAAGGGTGGATTTTGAGCGCGTCCCGGCCCGGCGCGCCCGTACCGGTCCCGTACCCATTACGAGGGAATAACGGTACTTATCTCTTGACCCGCTCCCTCACCCCTCCACCAAGCCCACGCATACCAACCACCCCCGCCACCAAGTCTACCCGTACGTACGGAGGGTAGAGGGGAAAAAAGGGGCCAACATCGTAGACAGCAGAAAAGATAAGGAGACTGCTACGTAACCCAACACAGCAACAAAGAAAAGTTCTCCGGCGGTGAAACGGCAGAACAGTAAAGGAAAGGGAGGGAAAACCTAGCACGCGAGAGGCGCACACTTACCGTGGTCTCGTCCTCGTGTAGGACTTGGTCGTATTCTGACATGGCCACGCAGAAGATGATGGCTGTTACATCTTCGAAGCAGTGGATCCATTTTTTTCTTTCCGACCGCTGTCCTCCTACGTCGAACAATCTGTGTAGGACAAACAAAGAATGGTCAGTATTATTCAAAGAAACTGACAAGTTATTCAAAGCCCGGCCTGCTAAAATAAGCATTTACTTCTGTATACATAAAAAAAATGCAGGGAATAGAGCATGAGTACGGGTCTACTTGCGGGGCTCTGTCCACACAGTAAAAATTAAGGCCGATCTACCCCTGAGGATTTTCAAACAGAGGCCTCTCAATCAATTTAAACGAATTTTATCATCATATAAAAATATATATTTGGGTGGACACGGAATACGATAAGAGGGGAAAATGACTGAACTGGGTGTCGAGGTCGTGAACGACCCTTTCTAGTTCGTGAAGGACTCTTTAGTTATTTGAATTCGAAAAAGTTGAAGAGCGCAAATCGCCATTGCATTTTAAATTCACACGGAACATGGTCCATGATTCTGCCGCCCTCCGCCAGCAAAGTTTTCGAAAGAGCAGCCTCGACGTTAATGTCTGGCAGTGTGGACGCAGTCGCAGTGACGCCCCTGGGGAGGTTCTATTGTAGTTCAGGGTGAGAAATTACCAAAAGGGGGAGGGGACATGGGTGGGGTACGTGGGAAGAAGGGGGAAGGGTAGTGGAAGGGGCAGCGCTGGATTCCGTGGCTGAGAGCAGAAAAGAAAAACAGACAAAAAGTCCCGCAGGCGCTCATTGTGGCGGGGCGAGATAAGTTGGTACCCCTGCTGTCTGCCCGGCGGCCACATCGCAGCCTCACCACTACCGTGCCCTGCGAAAATATTCCCCAAAGTCGACTTCGATGGCTTCTGCCTACACGCAGCGGATACAGTGCACTTACTTGAAATTTAAGTTTTTAAACGAGAAGTGGACTTCTACGATGCCGGTGGTCTTGACTCTTGTGCGCAGAATGTCTTGTTCTGTAGGCTGGTAGTCTTTCGCACCCAGTCGGTCCAGGTCATCCAGGAAACTGAAAGCACACCAGATCCAGCTTAGTGTCACGAAAATACGATATAAACCGTACTGCACTGTTGGCAAAACAAAACATACACATGTGTGCAAAAGAACAAACAAAATTTCAAAAAGAAATAACAGGAAAAACTTAAAGGTAAAAAAAGGAGTTTCATAAGTACTCTGTGAAGTCAAATGCGTACATTGTCTTTAAAGAGAGTACATGTTAAAAATATTTTGTGATTTCCCAACACTTTCACGATACGAAGCAACTGTGAAATCAGAACACTTCTTTGTACTCAAAAAATAGGGCAGTTTCCTATCTTACTTAGAATTAGTTGTGAACCAATCGTAATAATTTCTGGAGTTATCAATTTTTGACAACAAAGAACAGTTGTGATTTCACAAAGAGTTCTGGCAATTTTTTTCACACCGAATTCTTCGTGAAGTTCTGACTTTTTTTAACAGTGTACACATGCATGTCTTCGATAAAGAAATAAGTACGTTCCATAGACACTAAGGACTATTTGTGCACCTTCTGCAATGTTGACATGGGCATGTCTACTTTCTTTCATGTGTACAATGCGCGTATTTGAGTTGACAGAGTCCGTGGTTATACTGCGTATGGCCTTTCTAGTGCTTGCCACTATTTCGGAAAACGAGAGAAACGAATAAACTACGACATCGTCATATCTTGAAACATTTCCCGGGAAAGTAGCGCTCCGGTTATCCTCCTTTTCTTCTCTCTTCTTCTATCCACCCCACCGCCCTCTCCACCGTCTACTCTCCTCGGCCGAGGCGAAAAATGATTTCATGCATAAATGAACACCATTGCGGAAGTACAAGCTGCAGCGCTGCACGGGGCTGCGAGAAAGGAAAAGAGGTGGAGGGGAGGGGGGACAGTATACAGCACCGCAGTGGGTCAGTACAAAGCGTACCCTGGGTACCCCGAGTAATCGAGGTCAAGAAAACGGGGCTTATCGTCATAGCAGCCCAGAAGTGTCACGCACCTATAAAAGGGCGTTTGTAGCAAACAAAAACAAAACCAACTGTTTCTTTTTCTAAAGTACTTATTTAAAGTTTATCTCAATACTACTATGTGTATCGTAGTTTCAAGTAGTACATAAAACGAGTACCAGTATAGATTACTTGGAAATGGACCGTTAAAATGGCAACGCGTTTAATTTCGGCCACTTTTGCACTCGAGGAAATTTTCTTCCCCTCTTGGATGGGCTTCAGACTCTTCACTTGGTTTCCCACGCTGGGCAGGGATGATCGTTTTCCTCAGGCAATTCAACGCGTAGTATCGTAATTAGATGTAGATAATAAACTTATTTGTTAAGGAAAAATCTTTTACTCGAGAAAACCAGCACAATGAAATAGAATGCGTTTTAATAAAGCGATTGAAATGTGATACTTTTAAATTCTGGGCAATTTGTCTTGCAATATAATATTGACATTTCTGTTAAAAACGGAAATGGAAAATTTTACATGTAAATTAGACTGTCAAAGTTTGGTTCCGCTTGCTTTCATGGTTTGCTACTGAGATCCAATACGGAGACTAATCTTCTGTCAGTAGTGTGGCGCCTGTGTTGCACTGCGACGTACCTACAAGGAAGTAACAACGGGCACCCCCTCCTCCTTCCCCTCTACCCTATTCCACCACTGCAATAGGGGGAGGGATCGAGGTGAGAAGGGGGACCGTGAGTGTGAGGGCTGAAAGGACGGACTGAAAAGGAGCACGGGATATAGGAAGTAATGAAGGCAGTGGGGGAAGGAATGCCGATGACCCGGTACCGACGTCACGGCGACGTCAGCCCTTTGCTGAAGTCACGGAACAAGCAACATAAACATGACGCTGTACCCGCCCCTGTTTTATATCCTTCGTGACTGTGACAGGAGAGGAGATAGGTTTCCAGACAGACCAAAACAAAACGGAAAGTCGTTCGCAAACTACACCTGGTAGGGGTGACACAGATTTCACATCTGATTTTTTTTTGGTATTGTTGTTGCAGATATTGTTTCTTGACATTGAGTCCATCTGATATGTCTGTGGGAACAGGAAGCGTCCTAGGGGGTGACAATGCCCGGTATTTCCACGTGATATATGATAGGCAACATTACGAATACTCATGATTCATAAAGAAAAGTGCCCCCTTTACAAGAAGTCACGCCAATGCCTGCCACAGGGCGGAATCCGAGGTGAAACACTACGACACACAACACGTGCTGAATCTACAGGACTAGCCGCCCTCGGAAGAGCATTGGGGAGCACCCAAATCAAACGAGGAAACGGAAAATGCACTTCATTTTTGTTGCTTCAAGTGTTCACTGCACAAAAACCGCCAAAAACGACAAAAACACGGTTTGACTTTGATTGTTGTAATATGTGCCACGTTACTGATTAACCCCTCGCACTTCTGTAGTCATACTGTTCTATACTGTACCAGACGCAAGCGTGCGGTCGGTCTTGCCTAT